TGTCCCACGTGCTCACTTACGTGCGTGACAATGGGTTGCCAGGCGCTGTCTCGCGGGGGTCCCCATATAGGGCATATGAGAAACATGTGGTCAATGATCGTAACACAGACGGCCTTCTGTTGAATGGTATGCAGACGCCTGTTGGCGACGATAACGACGGGGGCACATTTGGGAATTGGGTGTGTAACCCAGGGGCGTTCTTGTACGCCATATGCATGGAACGCGGGCCGTTCAGGTCATTGATGCGCCACCAATTGCAAAAGCACCGATGTTCTTTAGCTGTACCTTGGAAGATAATTCGTTATGTCGATGGTGTATCGCCACGCGATCCTCTCGCGAGAGGCAAAGGTGACCGTGGTATGGATGCTGTGTACTGGTCTTTTGCCGAATCCGACGAACACTTGCAAAACGAAGATCTATGGTTAACCCTCAGCACCGCACGCGTTGCCAAGGCGAAAGATCTGCCTGGGGGCATCGGGCAATCTATCCGCATGATGCCCAGCGAGCTTTGTTTAATAGATCGGGTGGTGTTAACTTTGGGACAACGGGGGTTACGCTGGATGTATCTGCGCTGGGTGACGCAACAACATACGCAACGATAGTTTCGAGATTGGCGTGCGTTATCGGAGACGAGGAGGCATTGAGGGAGCTTCATATGATCAGGGGGCAAGCTGGCTCTAAGCCCTGCGCAGTTTGCAGGAACGCCCTTAACAAGAAATTCGGCTACACACAATTCGACAGTTCGGGGGCATACGTTGGTGACACCTGCCTTGGCAACAGCAAACTCGTATACACCACCGACGCGACAGTCGTCGCGATCTTGGAGAGGTTGCGCCCTGATTGGGGGAAGTACCAGCGAGACGAGCTCACAGACGCGCAATCCACATCTGTCACGCAAGTGAAAGGTTGGAATTGATATCCAACGCATGTCGCACTAGACCCGTTTCTTAGATACTTGGTGATGGCATTCTTGTGCTTCGATTGGATGCACGTAGATTTCGCTAGTGGCATTTTTGATCGGGAAGTCAGGGCACTTCTAGAGCACAAAGATGTCAAGCAGCTGTGCAGCGCCGACGGCCTCCACGACTTCTTCACGAAGTGGGCGCGGCCATCCAAACACCACTCTGCTGCGCCAGTCTGGGAAACGGGAGACTTCCAGGCGAGTGCCTCGCAAGAGCTATCTGCGATTCCCGCACTGGCTCTATACATCAGGCAAGTCATTGTCAATGCACCATCACGCGATGCAGTCGCAGACCAGATAGCAAGCATGCTGGCGTCATGCGACGCCGTGGATGCTATTCTCTGCGCGTCGAGGCGATTGCCATTCACGCGAGACGAGGTGGAGTCAGCAGTGTTGAAACATTTGGATCTTCACCAGCGTGCATTTGGTGCCAAGTATTGGGTGCATAAGCATCACACGGCTATCAACTTGGCTGACATGTTTGAGGGGCAGGGCTGTTTATCATGTTTTGTCCAAGAGCGGAAACACAGACATGCCAAACTATTTGCAAAGGACCACCTGTGCAAGACGAGGCCCGAGAAGGCTGTAATGATCCAGCTCACGGCTCCACGCATGCATGATATACAGAACGTCCGCGGGTTGTCACTGGAGTGCGAGTTCGAGTGCGCCACAGCTGCAATCAAACGTCTGTTGAGTGCTTTGCAGCAGCTGCGGCCGGGCACGCATGCAGCAGTCTCGACCATTGAACCGCATGCCGAACATGGAGGACAAATCAAACGTGTTGACATGGTTTTGATGGGGCGCGATCGTGGCCACGTTGCAGTCCAAGTGAGGTTCCACGTGAATTGCGACGGCGACCCGCCGCAGAGCTGAGTTCATATTTTGATTACGAAGCATGTGCATGCGAGCGAACACTTTTCTAGGCATGTCATCGATGATGCCCGCGATCCCGATCTCATCCCCTTCTGTTCGTTGTCATCTCTAGTGGTTTACGGGAGAGTTGGCGATCATGTCGCGTGCATTTGGCCCGTTGAATACCGTAAATTGTTCTGTTAGCGCGTACCTTGCAAAAAAAAAAAAAAAAAAAAAAAAAAAAAAAGTCGATATGCAAAGAAACCTGTCCAAGAAACAAAATGCACACCCCAAAAAAACCTCAAGTATAATCCAACAAAAACGAAGATGTCACTCCAAAAAACTCCAACACGGCAACTAGTTATAACGAATTACTAACTAGTTATAACTGCAGGTAACGATTACTAACCGACGCGTTCCTTCAGGCGCTGTCCCGCAGGGCTGGCGCCTCGCGCGGCTGCGGCTGCGCTGCGCGCTGCCGCTCCGCCCCTGCCGCGCTGGGGCCCTCGGGCCGCCCCGCGGGGCGGTGTCCGCCCGCAGCTGCTGGGCTGGGCACAGGCACCACGCCCAGGCCCAGCCTGCCAGGAACGGCCCTGGCGGCCGCCCTGCCGCCCCGCAGAAACGTTTGAAACCAGCCATGCACGGGGGCCCGCGCCGCGCGGGGGACTTTGCGCGCCTCACACGCACGCGCTCTGGCCGGGGCAGGCTTCGAGCTTGCCCCTCAGCTGCGGTCAAGCACGACGCGCGAGGGCAAGCGCATCGTGCCTGAGCCAAAATGGCTACGGGGGGTCGGCGTGAACACGCCTTTTTTCCTGGCTTGGCCAGCGATGCATACACGCCGATCCTGGGCATGGGGATCGGCATGCCCAGGATGGCGCTGGCATGTAGTGCAAAAGCCGTGAGGCTGGTTCCGCCGACGATGAGGAGCGAACAGCTCGGGGGCAAGGGGCGCAAAGGGGGGCGGGGGCCAAGAGGCGGCGTCAGCGCGAGCATTGCGCAACCCCAGACGTCCGACTTGGCGATTTCGTTCGCAGCGTGGCCCCCCAGAGGTCCAGACCTCATCCTGGGGAAGGGTTTCTCGTCCAAGCTCGGTGTTTGACGTTCCCAGGGCCCGGCGAGGGCCCCCCGGCGGCCAAAACGGCCAACCAGAATCCGTCGCGATGTCTCACGACACAAGGACACGTCGTACTTAGGGGAGGGCCGTGTTCTAGAGGCCCTGGTGACACTTGAAGCGATCTGCGCCAGGAGTGGAAGAAACACGCACAGGCACAAGTAGTCGTCGATCCCAAGAGAACATGGGCAACTATTTGGGAGGTTTGGGGGGAGACGACAACCTGGGACAAATACAGAAAGAGAGAGGATCCCCCCCCAGAGTTACGATGTCGTGATCTTTTCAACACGCGGTCCCTGGAAGTCTCGACCCACTCCCTGGGACCAGCTTTTCATCCTGAGCCGTTTTTTGACGGTCCCGGGGACAAGCGAGGGCTCTTAGAGGCCGAAAGTTGAGAAAAACCTCCGTCTTGATTTTTTCCAAGACGTTGGATCTCTGGGCCTGGGCCCTCTGCCTGTGTATGGAGCTGCTTGTCCCAGGGCCCCTCTACTTTGGTGGGGGGCAGGCCTGTACCCCCCCACGCGCCCCTGCTCCCCAACCCTCGTCGCACCGACCTTGCCGGCCCGAGCTGGGCCCCCTGCCCCGCGCCCAGGGTGCTCGCGACGGGCGCGGCGAGGTCGGCCCAGGCATGATCGCGTCGTGAAATAGAAACCCACAAAAAACAGGACGGGAGGTTTTTAGCAAATTTTGGCCTCGGGGGGCCCTCGCCGGGCCTCGGGACGGTCTAAAAACGATTCAGGAGGAGAAACCGGTCCCGGGGAAAGGGTCGGGACTTCCAGGGGCCGTATTGAAAAAATCAGGACGTCGGATCTCTGGGGAGGGGTAGGGGGATGGGGGAAGGTTGACGGCTCTGGCCAACATCTATTCGCCGAAGGGATTCGCAGATAGTGGTGTTCGCTCGGTCCTGGGGTGGAGTTCCAGACTCATACCGCGAGGGAAGTGGCCAATGAGCGGCTCACTTCGCGTTCTGCTCTTCTGCGGAAGAGGCCGGCCACGCGCAGAAAGGGGGGGAGGGGGGAAGGCTTCTCAGAAGCACCCTTGCTTCTTAGAAGGCGCGGGCTTTCCATCTGTAGATGTAAGGCCAGCGCCTTCTAAGACGCGGCCTGGTTCTCAGAAGCCTACCCCCCTCCCTCTGCCCCCCTCTGCGCGCCGCCGAGTCTGGCCACGCCCGCAAAAGGAGCGGACACCCCCCGACTCGGCGACTGCAGATCGAGTAGGGGATCGACGACAGAGTTGCTTTACGCCCGAATGGATTTTCCCGTCGGGCACATGAACAACGCGCAGGATGCTTGTAGATCCACGATCAGTCCACGTATTGCGCATGGATGCGACCAGAAAGCCAGTTTAGGGGTAGATCCATTCTGCAGTCGATCCCTTACTCGAACAAACGGGTGTGGTGACGCCGGGGCTTGGTCTGCGATTGACGCCACTGGTGTCCGGGAGGCACGACGCTGTCCTCGTCGGGCCTCCTCGGGGCACCGCGGCGAGCTCTCGAGGTCCTCGCCCGCCTCCCCCCAGGGTGCCCCCCCCCAGGGTGCGGGTTGTAAACCACACCCTTTGCAAACCACATCCTTCGGAGTCGCCGACCGACACCCTCGCGTCGTGCAAGAAATCACGACGCAGGCTTTTGGTGTTTTTTTCTCCGCCTGGGGGGTCTTCGCCGGGCCCGGGGACCTTCAAACATTGGTCCCCATCACAGGGTTTCAAACCTCTGGGGAGCTACGTTTTGAACAAGTCAGCACGTTGCCGCCTCTGTGGATGCACCTTGAGTCTAGTTCGGATTCACCCCCGCGGCCGAAATATTGGGAAACACTCTGTTTACCAATGCTCTTTGGGTTCTGGAGCAGTCACGCGAGGCGCTCCAACAGTCGCGCGCGACCCCCACGGCCCCCACACCAAGATCTGTGCGTTAGGGATCCTGGCCCATAGAAGAGCATATTACAGACAACTCGAAGGGGTCCTGACGAGACTACACTCAACACCTCTCACGATGGCGGATACGGGCGAGGAGGGGTCATGGTGGCCCCGAAAGTAGGTGGAACCGAAATCAATGCGAGGACTTCTGCCGCCACCCAGGCCGAGGCTACGATGCAGAGAGAGGGCAATTGGGCCGACAAGAATGGGATCGACCTGAGCGGCAAGGCGAAGACCCAGAAGGAGGAGGAAGAGGGGCAGGCGCTGGTCTGGGCGTTCAACGCCCTCTTCCTGGGCACAATCTACGGGTTCTTGAACGGCACGATCGGATGGTGGAACTACGACGAAAACGGCAGGAAGCTCACCGCTGAGGAGTACAAAAAGGCGTCGCAGTCCCCAATTGTCGTCATACCTTCCAGCCTCGTGAAAGATGCGCAACGTTTTTGTTTGTTGTTCCCTAACCAGAGCTTGCCTCTGTAGGGGCCCTAGCGGATTCATATGGTTAGCTTACGTTTGCCACCGATTTTCGCTGCACGCCCGGGTGCCTGGGTGCCAGGGGGTGCCCGGGTGCCCAGGGATCCCCGGGTCCCCGGGTGCCCGGGTGCCCAGGTGCCCGTGCGTGCCCCGGGGTGTCCGGGTGCCTGGGGGTACCCTATAGCCCAATAGCCTTATAGCCCTATCGCTCAATAGCCCTATAGCTCAATAGCCCTATAGCCCTATAGCCCCCTGGCCCTATAGCCCTGATTGGGTTTTTTCTCCGGTATCATGATTCCTCTCACTGTGCGGGGTGCACGTCTGGAGCACGTCAGGACTGGTCGTTGGGTGGCTCGCCCTGCTTGCCTGCCGCGCTGTTCTTGCCCTGCTGTTCTGTCCGCCCTGGCGCCACGGGGGGCGGATGTGCCATCTCCCCGTTTCAGCGCTGGGGCGAGCGTGCGAGTGTCCTCGAGGTGGTGTTCTTGGCGCGCCGATGACGGCAACACAAATTCACTCTCCCTCCGGGACTTCGCCCCGGCTCCTGTCCATGGCGTACCTTGTCCTGTGCAAGGTCTTCGGTACCGCCTGTACTCTGCACCCTCCGGCCGCCTGAGGCCCGCCCGCCCGCGCCCTGTCTCCCCAATTAGGGCTTCGCGCGCCCCGCCGAATTAGCTCTTGACCGGAAGGGGCCCGCTCCCGACCCGCCGACCAAAAGAGTGTCTTCGAGGGCAACAGAAGGCAACGCCAATAGCAACCTCCGATGGGCACAGCAGCACCGTGCCACTCGAAGGCACCTCCGCGGGCCTCGTGGTGGTGCCTCAGGGCCGTCTGGGAGCTCTTGGAGAGCCTCGTGGGGGCTTCTTTGGGGGCCCTGGGGGCCTCTTTGGGGCCTCTTGGTGAATTTGGAGGCCTCTTTGGGGACGCTCTTGCGCCGCCTAACCCCATTCAAAGACCATCATGCGAGCCTCTCAAAACCGCGCTGCAACTCTCTCTTAAAATCCTCTTGGCCCGTCTTGGGGGTCTCTTTGGCCCGTCTTGGGGGTCTCTTTGGGCCGTCTTGGCGGTCTCTTTCGGGCCCGGGGCCCTCTTAGGCCGTCGTGAGGCTCTCTTCCCAGACCCCCTCGCGCAATGAAAAAATCACGACGAGAGGTGTCCCGTTTTTCGTTACTTCAGGCTGCGGGGGCCCTTCCCGGGTCTCGGGGCCGCCAAGAAACAACTCAGGATGAAAACCGGTCCCGGGGAAGGGGTCCAGACCTTGGGGGGTCGACGTTGTTCAAAAGTGACGACGCTTGTGGTCTGGACTGGTGGCCTTTGGGACTGTCTTGCGGCCACCTTGGAGGCTGCTTGGGCCGTTCCTGGGCCTGCGAGACGCGCAAGAACGCGGAGATCTGGCAAGACCGTATGGCAAGCCCATGCGTCTGGGCTTGAGTCGGGCCTGTCCCTCAACAGGGGGAAATTCAAAAATATTCCAAAAATAGAAGGGGGACGATTTCGTGCAGATTTGTTGACCATTTGGGTGCATTTTTGAAGTATTTTGGGGGTATTGTTGGGGTATGTTTGGGGCATTGGGGGGCATTATTGGGGTATCCTTTGGAGCATTTCCCAACCATCCTGTGGTGTTGGGTCCTTGTTTTGAAGAGACGTCGCCCCGCGTTCCTCCTCCTCCTCTCCTCCTCCCCCTCCTTCCTCCTCCCTGCGTTTCACCCACCCAGTACAGCGTTTCGTGGTCCCATAGGGAGCTCCACCGAAGGGCCCCGTGCTACCGTCCACATGCGTCCCCCTCACCCATTTCGGCACACCCCTCACACGCTTCGTGGCCCAATAGGGAGCTCCACCGAAGGCCCCAGTGCCACCGTCCACATGCGTCCCCCGCACCCATTTCGGCACACCCCTCACACGTTTCGTTGCCCAATAGGGAGCTCCACCGAAGGCTCCAGTGCCACCGTCCACACGCGTCCCCCGCACCCATGTCGGCACACCCCTCACACGTTTCGTGGCCCTATATGGAGCTCCACCGAAGGCCCCAGTGACACCGTCCACATGCGTCCCCCACGCACCCATGTCGGCACACCCCTCACACGTTTCGTGGCCCTATATGGAGCTCCACCGAAGGCCCCAGTGACACCGTCCACATGCGTCCCCCAGACCCATTTCGGCACACCCTTCACGTGTTTCGTGGCCCAATAGGGAGTTCCACCGAAGGCCCCAGTGCCACCGTCCATATGCGTCCCCCTCACCCATTCGGCACACCCCTCACGCGTTTCGTGGCCCTTGGGGAGCTCCACCGAAGGCCCTAGTGCCACCGTCCACATGCGTCCCCCACACCCATTTCAGCACGCCCCTCACACGCTTCGTGGCTCCATAGGGCGCTCCACCGAAGGCCCTAGTGCCACCGTCCACATGCGTCCCCCGCACCCATTTCGGCACACCCCTCACACATTTTGTGGCCCCATAGGGAATTCCACCGAAGGCCCCAGTGACACCGTCCATTTGCGTTCCGCACACCTATGTCCGCACACCTCTCACGTGTTTCGTGGCCCCATCTGGTGCCACACCGAAGGCCCAAGGGCCACCGTCCACATGCGTCCCCCGCACACATTTCGGCACACCCCTCACACGTCTCGTGACCCCATATGGAGCGCCACCGAAGAAGAGATTCGCAATTGCCGTACGAACAACTGCATATGGTTGGGTCCAGCGCCAGGCTAATTTGGGTTTGTTTGTTGCCATTTTGGGTGTTTTTTTTTTTTTTGTGTGTGTGTGTGTGTGTGTGTGTGTGTGTGTGTGTGTGTGTGTGTGTGTGTGTGTGTGTGTGTGTGTGTGTGTGTGTGTGTGTGTGTGTGTGTGTGTGTGTGTGTGTGTGTGTGTGTGTGTGTGTGTGTGTGTGGGGGGGATATTTTTAATTTTCATGGGAAATCCTCCTGTAGGGGGACAGGCACGACTGAAGCAGGGGCCTGTGAGGCGCTCTTGGGCCCCTCCTAGAGGCCATGCGGGGCCGCCCTGCGGGCCCGCTCGGGCCCTCGTGGGGCCATCCTGGGCCGGCGTGAGGCCATCTTGAGCCGTCGCAATTCCCGGATAGCTCCTCAGAGCTACGTGGGGGTTGTTCGAATAGAAGCCGGGGCGGCAGGGCCGCCCCGGAGGTCGTTCCGGCTTCCGGCCGGAAGCCTCGCAGCGCATTGCTTGACCTCGCAGCGTGTTCCGGCCAGCGTTTCCCGACTCGTTCCCAATACGCGTGCCCGGAAGCTCTCCAGCAAGTCGTTCGGAAGCTCTCTCCAGGTCCTTGCATCATGCTTCGCCAGTCCTCGAAACGCTGTTCGGGCGCCCTGCTATCTGGGTGTTGGACTACACAACTTTCGAAAACGCTGGCGGGCTGGTTGGCTCGAAACATCTCGACGGAAGCTTTGCATAATTTGGGTCGGTTGAAAATTAGGTTGTCAAAACTCAACAATCCGTAAGAGCTCCAATGTTTTCCCCCATGTGTCATCTTATTCCCGCTCGCCATCTTGATTCCAGGTCGATCGGATGGATGAGACCTTCCTGGGCCCCCTGGAGGCCCCAGAGGCCGGCACCGTGATTTTCCGTTTGTTCTGGCACCTGTTTGGGCCCCACGATGGGGGTTGCCACTTTAGTCCGCCGATGTGGCGTGATTCTGGTGGGGGGTCATTAGGGGGGTACACAAGATTGTGCAAGCATGTCTGACATGTAGCAAAGATGTAGTGCTGTGATACGTTGGTTTCGTTGCATTCAGGCGTTCACCGAAAAGTGCCTTCCGGTCGTGAATTGACTGCCCTGCGCTGCGCGTGGATGCCCAGATCCGATTTGATCATTGGAAGTCGACTCATCTATTGCGATTCGTATGTTATTTCCCCTCGTGTTCATTTCTCGTCTCCTCACTCTCCTCCTCTCCCACCCCTCCTTCCGCGCTCCCCCCCTCCGCCCTCCGGCTCCTCCGATTGGCTCGTCTGTCGTTTTCGCTGGCCCATTGCTCGTGGCGTTCCTCTTTTTCTCGTCTCCTCCCGTCGGTGCTCGATCGTCAATCGTCGATCCTACGACAGCGCCGCGCAGAAGGCAGGCATCCAGGGCCCCGGAACTCCTATCCCTCCTCCTCCTCCTCCTCCTCCTCCTCCTCCTGTTCCTCCTAAGCGTGGATAGTTGTTTTTTTTGTTGCTCCCGCGAGGGGTCCCAACCATCCTGTGGTGTTGGGCCCCCGTTTTGAAGAGAAGGTCCCCGCGTTCCTGTCCTCTTCTCTTCTTCTCCTCCTCCTCCCCGTGCTCCTCTCCACCGCCCGCATGCGTCCCCCACACACATTTCGGCACATCCCTCACACGCTTCGTGGCCCCATAGGGAGCTCCACCGAAGCCCCCAGTGGGACCGCCCGGAAGCGCCCTCCACACCTAATTTGGCATTCTCACCCACCCAGTACAGCGCTTCGTGGCCCCATAGGGAGCCCCACCGAAGCCCCCAGTGGGACTGCCCGCATGCGTCCCCCACGCCCAATGTTGCATTTTCGCACACCCAGTACAACGTTTCGTGACCCCATGGGGAGCTCCACCGAAGCCCCAGTGGTACCGCCCACATGCGTCCCCCACACCCAACTTGGCTTTGTCACCCACCCAGTGCAGCGCTTCGTGGCCCAACAGGGAGCTCCACCGAAGCTCCCAGAAGGACCGCCCGAATGCGTCCCCCAGACCCAATTTGGCATTTTCACCCACCCAGCACAGCGCTTCGTGATCCCATGGGGAGCCCCACCGAAGCCCCCAGTGGGACCGCCCGCGTGCGTCCCCTACGCCCAAGTTGGCACTTTCACCAACCCAGCGCAGCGCTTCGTGACCTCATAGGGAGCTCCACCGAAGCCCCCAGTGGGACCGCCCCCATGCGTCCCCCACACCCAACTTGGCTTTGCCACCCAC